GATAGAACACACAAAGCTCAAATTGTGAAAAGTTATATCAACAGCGATTGGGCGGAAGTTGTTCACCACTAACGGAAGGTTCTGCCGTTCATTGCGTATTCGGCGGGGTCCAAATTCTGGAATCTGACAACAGCCTAAGAAAACGAGAAATATCGTAACACTGACCAATGCCCTATTCCCTCTTACTTGACCGGCTTCAACTCCAAACTCCTTCTGGAGGGTCTCATACACGGCATCGCACAATTCCCCCTTTAAACCTCCACCGATCGAGTATATCTCCACCGAGACTCCGTTAGCCACTTCCCCTCCAACAACAAAGCCCGTAGCAGGGACGACTTGAACCTAGTCGATATCGTAGAGCAAAAAACAAACTTCACCTCGTGCACTACAGTGATGTAGTTCTTTGGCTTCCCGAGAGCGTGGGAAACAACATCAGTGAACGCGACAGCAGCCTTGTTCGGGTCGGCTAGGATAGCTTGGACGTTGGTAGTGACCGATACGAAAGGCATACACACACGGAAAGGTTCAGCAGACTGTTTAGGGATAGCATAATGAGCCCATTTATCATTGATAGCATCTGATCATCGGATTCTGGGGCCTATTTCACAAGCGTCCTTAGATTAGGACGTCTTTACGTATAGGATTTTAACCTTAGGACGTCCTTACCTAACTAAGGCTATTTCACAAGATTTTCCTTACCTAACGTTAGGATCCTATACTTAAAGACGTCCTTACCTAACGTAAGGATGTGCTATCTGAGGATATTAGGAATCCTTACGGCAATTAAACACAACGTAAAATGTTTTACAACCGCGATTCGAACCAGGATCTCCCATACACCAAGCACAAACTTTACCACTCCACCATTTTATACTTACTTCTAACGAAATACGAATCGGTTCATCGAACCATGGACCACGCGTCGTCTAGATAGTCAGGGGTCCTTCATGGCCGAGGAGCATGAGGTACGAAAGAGGGCACTCATGGCTCAACAGGATGCTTGGGAAGCTTGGCAGCAAGTTGGTAGAGCGTGGGGCGAAGTTTCAGTTTCTGCTAAGAGTTTCTGCTTTTCTGCTATGGAGGAGTCCTGCAGTAACAAAAGGCTTGACTCTAGCGAAGATGAGTGTTTGTAAGTAGCTTCATATGAAGTTTCAAATGAGTATCGAAATTATTGTCGAGTTTTGTTAATAGTTGTAAGATTTTTGTTCAAGTTACAAATTAATTTAAAAATGTACATGCAGAGTTTCGAACCAACGACTGTTTGGCGGAGCGCAGCGAGTCGTCTTGCACACTTTTAACCTTAGGATTGCCTGTAAAGTACCCCCCGAGGTACTTTACCGTTAGGATGAAAATTTCCTTAAAAATATAGCTTGTGAAAGCCGGGGCGTCCTAAAGGCCAATTTTTAAGGAAAAAGGCATCCTAATGTCCTAAATCCTAACGGTAAGGATCCTAATGTCCTAATGTCCTAACCCAACCTAAGGAAAGGGCCCTTGTGAAGGTGCCTAATCGTTGGCACGAACACTCAACAGGACGATGTGATGGGACGTGCTTCGCTCCGCTGTGGCGCACGGTCCCTATTCTGTGTGCGATCCTTCACTGTGTGCTACAAACCGTATCTGCGAGTACTGCAGCCGTTTCGCAGTATCTTTAGCTATTGGATATCGATCATACGTAGTTGTCGTATAAGCTTAGTTCAAGCTTACTACGAGCTCTGTACAAGTACACTTTACACGTAGTCCACTCGTGTTCTGTACACGTATTCCACTCGTACCCCTATCCCTGTCGTCTATCGTAGTATCCCTGCGGTAGTCATATTCTCTGGTTATCTCTATCTCGTACAGTCACCGCTCTGTACGTAGTTGGATATCTGGTTATAGCCTAGTCAGCTCAACTCCTTATACCCTAGGTGTGCTGGTTGTGTTCTTCTCATTAGTTGGGTCGGTTCACTCCTGCGACAACGAACAACTTGGCGCACGCCCAAAAAACACAAAAAGAACCTCGTTCGCGGCGAACGGTTCGCCCTAAATTCCTCTTAATGCCCGGGTCTCATTTCAATCACGGTTCAAGTCCTGAAATAAGATACAAGTCCGAATTAGGTAACAGAGCCACAAAATCTACTTGCCTCCACTAGAGTCATGTGTAACAGACGCTCAGCACTAGTTGGAGTTGAAGTAACTCCACCTATGGGTCTGGGTGGATGCGGTAAGGCGGATCATCAGCGGAGTATATGCTGACGCTGTCATGTATGATCGCGGTGATGCATGGTATCGAAAGCCTGAATATGTTGCGCTTGACGCCAGGCTGCAAATTCTTTGCGGCCGTCCGGTTGACAAACCTGATCTCCATTAATGGTTCAAGCTCGCCCGTGGAGTCGTGAGGGGAGCAGTCAAGCACGCTGCTCAGTGCAATAACGACGATGTCGACATCAACTCCGATGACGAGATGATGATGACGGTAGTGCAGAGCAGGAGTTCGGCCACGGTGATGATTTGAAGCCTAGCCAGAACAGCTCCACTCAAGTTGGAGGCGATCATTCTTCGCACTGCCCGGGGAAGCGTCACTGGATGGCCCTACTGTGTACTAGGTGCTTATGTTTGCTGCAGTCTCCTCCGATAACTCCAGCATCATTAGAGGTTATGAAAATACTGCTTGAGGGCATCCCGAAGCTCCTAGCTTCAGCAATGCACCCTCGATCATCCAACCTTATACGACTATGGAGCTAAGCATTTTGCCCTCGCTGTCAGGAATCACGAGGGACTAGTGCTATATCTCGATAGCGCACTGGGTATGAACGCGATTCCTGGACCTATGCGTGAAGTGATGACCGCTATCTTCGGCAAAGGTACAAAGTGCGTATGTTTGCGCACACAACAGCAGACACCCGGATCTGCAAACTGCGGCCTCTTCACATTGGCGTGGGCGACAGAGTACGCCCTCCAACGAGCGACTGTCGATCCGGAGAAGGCCACCTACGGTGAGGAAAAATGCGGGATCATGCGGTTCGTTGTCTGCAGGAGAAGAGACTGAAGCCATTTCCACGAAAACGCGGAAGGCCCGGCAAAAACAACCGCCTTCAGGGCCGGATGGATATCGAGCTGTAAGCTGGAAGTGTCAATCATACAGTTTATTCACAGTTTCGTGTGTGTTATTATGAGTGTGGATGTTTCTGAGCGTGAACGTCTTCTGTTGCGTTTCTCTGCCAATGTTCGTCCAACTCAGTGTTCGTCCATTCGAGATGTTCGTCCACAGGACTTTATCGATTGTGTGGGCGTGCGCTAACATGTTCGTCGTCCCTTTGATTGTTCGTCCATCTGATTCACAACCCTTGTGAACGCCATTTATCCTTAAATTGCATCCTAATGGGTTAAAATCCTAACATTAGGACGCTTGTGAAATATGCCCCTGATGATTGAATTTTGATTTTCATATCCTGCAGCCGTTTCAACCCGGGCGGAGAAGACAATGAGTGTCCCGTCTGTCCCACGTTACTAAAGGCTAAATTGACGCGTCGGTTAACATGTTCAAGAAATCAGATTAATTTGTACCTCCCTCTAGCTCACACTCTGACTGGAGTGACTCAGGTGAACTCAATGACCTAGGTGATGACATTGATAGTGGTTGTGTTACTTAGGTAATCTCCACGAAGTAATATACCTCGCCCCATGAAAAAGGGTAAAAGCTATGCGTTTGCGTGCCGCATGGTACGTGTTGCAACCCAAAGCTTATACTACACAGCGACATGGTACAAGTTACTCATCCCACTTAGTGAAACTCACGATTCTAGATTTATTTCAGCGTGATTGTGATAGATTACTCACACTCACGAGTATTTTACTCGACCCTAAAACTTCGCAGATTCAGAATCAGGTTCTTACTCGAGAGTAAGAACTCTGAATCAGCTCGAAAATCAGTAACCGCATACGGCTCCAGATATAAATGTCCGGGTGATCTTGAGATTTCGGACAGCACACTACTGCACACGAAGCCAAATCTCAGTGATAAGCGTTAGTAGGCACTCCTTCCAGCGAATCTCAGCTGGTGGCAAACTGCATCATGTAGCATCAAGGACTCGGACATTTCGGTGACAATGTCCGAGTGGTAGCAGTGCCAAAGATAAGCTAGGGCTCTTTCAATCTGCCCGGGGCTATCCCCTCACGTCTTCAGCCTGTCTCACGAGACGTAGAGCTGGGAAGATATAGTGTGACTGGATGTAGCCATCGAGACGTAAGTGGTAACTTTTCAGTATTCCATTTGAATGAAACTCAATCGCCTTTTCCCCCTCATCTTGTTATCCACGAGCGTTGGCTTCCAGCCTGTGCAAATCTCTAACGGGCCAATATCTGGAATGGTGGTCAGAGAGGATACCTCCCTGCAGCAGCCCATCGTCCAAGATGTTGAGATCTTCTTCGGCATCCGTTATGCAGAACCTCCCTTGCGAGAACTGAGGTTTCGAGCTCCCCGACCCTACACCTCCAAAAATTGGACCGCTACCCGCCCTATGGTCACGCCTGGAGAGAAATGCTTTCAAGTATCGGACAGTAGCCTGACTGATACAGGTTCCACCGCTGGTCACGAAGATTGTCTATTTCTCAACGTTTATCGACCTTCTACTGTCGAGAACGGTACCTCGCGACTTCCGGTCATGTTCTGGATCTATGGCGGAGGCTACGTCTTTGGGGATGCCTTGTCGTACAACGGCACGGCGTTAGCGGCATTACACAATGTTATTGTGGTTACGGTTAATTATAGACTAGGTCACATAGGATTCCTCGGTTCCCAGAGGTCTCTGTCAGAGGAGGGCACTACCGGCAATTGGGGAACTTTGGATACTCAGTTGGGCCTGAAGTGGGTACAGCAGAATATCGAGGCATTCGGCGGCGATAAGAACCGAGTTCTGTTGTTCGGAGAATCCGCGGGGGCATTCTCCGTTATGTGGCACATCGCGGCTCCGGGGAGTAAGGGTCTCTTTCACGCAGCCATCGTGCAATCTGGAACGGCCTCAACTCCGATGTTCTTCCAGACTCGTACAGATGCCTTCAGATATTATGACTGGGTCGCAAGTGAACTCGCAGGTTGTAAGGATGCTAATGATCTTGCCTGCCTCCGAGAGGTCGACTTACACAACTTTACCATACCAAATGGAATACGTTTCGATCCGGCCCGTGCGCCGCCCTGGGGATCGCCCCTATTCCCAGCAATGCCTGTGGGTCCCATTATAGACGGTACAGCTCTGCCTGATAATCCCTTACGCATGGTAGAGAATGGTCAGCATAATGACGTACCGGTCATCCTGGGTGTGAACAGAAATGAAGGTTCAGTGTTTGGTCTCATGCTACCAAACCTTATCCCGGGACTAAATGTGCCATTGGTGGAGGACGGTGTCCGCAAGGCCATATATCACTTCCTGCAGAACGAGACTGCTGTTGAAGAGTTGTCGGAATCATATCCCTTGGGGAGATACTCCTCTGTCTATGGTAGCGCGAACGGTCCCTTCGAACAGATTTTCTATCTGATAAGAGACGCTATCTTCCACTGTTCTGCACGGCAATTCGCCAATGCTCTTGTGGACAAGGGGAAGTCCCCAACCTGGATGTACTCTTTCGATATGCCTAACCTCTTCGGCAGTTGGAGTGAGTTCAAGCTCGGTGCATTCTTCTCTGCTTATGGGAATTTAACGTTGGAAGAGATGGGCACTTTCCACTCAGCTGAAGTTCCCTTCATATTCAAACAGTTCAGAAACGTACCAGTGAACTTCTCATCATTTGGGATATCATCTATTCTCTCGCTCTATATGGCACATCCTCCTCGACAACGTGGTGACTCCTTCCATAATATTAGCGATGCCTTCTCCTGTATGTGGTCTCACATGGCAGCCGATGGAAGTCCGACGGGTCCACAACAACACTGCCCAGGGCTACCCGATGGGAGTATCCCATCCTGGTTGTCTTACTCTTCTATTCTTAATGGCTCTGAGGCACAGGGGATTTACATGAGCATCGGCGATGAGATGGTCATGAAGCCTTGGAGATCTAACAATCAGTACCCCGATAATGAGATGCCGTCTATTGAAGTATGTCAATGGTGGGACGGTCATCCAGTTGGGTTCCATGATCTTCAAGCCGACATACCCGCCACCACGACACCGGCGCCTACTTCCACAGAGCCCATATCGTCAGCTCAGCACAGTTCCATCGAGTTCTTCTTGTTAGTCTTGACATTCATTCGATTCATTCATTGATGCTTCTCCTATGAGGGATATAACATAGATGGCTCTATAACTCGCAGATATGATACATCTTGGTCTTGAAACATCTATGATATGATATGATACATCTAGAAAAGTCTTACAGTTTATACCGGCTTCCCGCATGCAGAGTGTGTTTGTATTATCAATAGTGAAGACATTAGATATAAAGGCTTCAACGCAGTTGTGGATTTGCCAGTATACAGCTCGAAAATTGGGGAGCCATGCATATGAGTGATGACTAATCCGTTACATGTGCCATCTCCCCTTACAAATGAGTTACCATTTCTCATACGCTGAATCGACGTCGGAGTCTCATTCCAAGGTGTATTCGAAGGAAGAGGACGTGCGAAAGTGCGATCGCTTTGGCAGGACAACCTCTCCAGTGAGCAGGAATATGCTTAGACTAGCCGAGATTCCGGTTGCCTACTGTGAAGCTCGACATAACAGACTCTGTTAACTAACAAACCGCATCATGCGGCATTACTTAGTTTACTTACCTACAAGTTTAGTGACACCGTCTGTTTGCGCCCCATTCGCCCGAACTCGCCCACCCTTACACGTTGGAGGTCTTAGTAGTTGGAGGTCTTATTGAAGATGCCTACGTCTGCAAGCCTAACGAACGTCAGAGGAGCACCGAGTACCGACGCGCCTGTCCCCGCTACATCAGAAGTTTGAGGCGGCGAGTCCATTGATAGCCCCTCATGGTCTTCAGTGAGGCTGGAGTACGGACTCGGGCCGCAGTCGAAGATCTGGCCTCGTTTCGAGCCCCTTATGACGCAAGGCGTCAGCGGACGCGAGGAAACAGATGAATGAATTCGCGAGTGGTCCAACTCTGTTTGATATGATCACCTCTAGTCTGTCTTCCTGTTAGATGAGGTGTAAGATCGCCGCTTCTTCCGGCTAGTAGGTGCAGTAACTGAGATCCATCCTGAGGACTACCCCAAGCGCTCAGCTGTGCCATTATGTCATTCTTCGTATCGCAAGTGCTCGGTCAAGCCTTGCACTGATCAACTACAGCGCTGCTCTCGCTGTGGGTGGCTTGACAATTCCATTTCCAAATGCTTCTTGCTGTGTATTATTTGTGTGGCTTTCAATTGTGGTTTTTCACCTGGTTTGGTCTGCCTCGCTTGTCTCGAGTGATCAATGGGCTCCTGCGCGCGGTTCTCCTTCGTTGAGCGTCAGTGCAATTTGCTAGTGTTTAGAATGGTTGTCAATACCGGTTCACAGCCTGGCCTTGCACCTGCTTCCTCCGTGCCCTACGGCACTAGTACTACAACAGGGCAACGACCAACAAGCGCGCATCCCGCTGCACATTATGGAAACTCGGTCTGGCCAGCGAGGACGCACAGCTTTCATCCGAAACAACACTCTAAGACCTGTGAGGATTAGGGAGAGCTTTCAATTGTGCAGCTTCGACCCTTGGCTTGATGAGTTATTCTGCCAGCGTGTATAAGCTGTGTTGATCACGCTTGTGTCGAGGGCTCTGCTCTCGATTATCCTGCGTAACGCAGAGGCCAACTGTCCGTTATATATCCATGAGT